CACGAACAGTGAAGGACCTGCGAAGTTTTCTGGGTGCTGTGCTCATATTTCCGCCGATTTATTAAGAACTTCGCACAACTTGCCTCCCCACTGACGTCCCTTCTTCATAAAGACACACCGTACTTGTGGGATGATAAATGTGAGGCTGCATTTCAACAGCTGAAGTTTTTATTGACTTCAGGACCCATTCTAAAGCATTTTGATCCTAATGCTTTGACTGAACTTCATACTGATGCTAGTGGGCTAGATGTTGGTGCTGCGCTGGTCCAACTCTGCAACAGCCGTCAGCACGTCGTAGCATATGCCAGTCGGACACTGACTCGAGCAGAGAAGAAAGAACTACACCGTCACCGAGCTCGAGTGCCTAGCAGTCGTCTTCGCCATTCAGAAGTTCCGATCCTATCTACATGGCCACGAGTTCGCAATAGTGACCGATCATCACTCACTGGCTTGTGGGACTTTGCGGCCCGTCTGGCCGGCTGGCTCGTTGGGCGTCGCGCCTCCAAGAGTACAGCTTTTCTGTGACCTATAAGAGCGGACGATGTCACACAGATGCCGACTGCTTATCCCGCCTTCCTTCAGTACACACCAACACTGACATTGATGACTATTTAGTTGCTGTCCCGTCCGACTTCCCAGATACCAGCAGCTTCAAACGTGAGCAACAGCGCGACCCTACTCTGAAACCCTTGCTCAAAGCTGCGCATGACGCCTCCGACAAGCACTTTAAAATTTCAAATGGCTTGCTGTATAAAAGAAACTATTCAGCCGACGGCCTCCCGTTGCTTCTAGGGGTGCTGGAAAGCCTGCACCTGGTTGTCCATCGTTCTATGCATGATGACATAACATCCGGTCATCTAGGTTTCACATGTACACTACATTGACTACGTCAGAGGTTCTACTGGCTGAAAATGTGGAAGACAGCAAAACAGTACGTCGCCAGCTGTGCTATATGTCAGTGCCAGAAGCGATCCACCACTGCCCCGGCAGGTTATTTGCAGCCTATCCCTCCACCGACATCCCCTTTTGAAAAAGTCAGCATCGACTTGCTTGGACCCCTTCCTAAGACCCCATCGGGCCACCGATATATTATAGTGTGCGTGGATTATTTAACGTGTTATATATGGAAACGGAAGCACTGACATCGGCCACAGCAGCCGCTGTTTCTTCCTTTCTGTTACAACGGGTCATACTGCGTCACGGTGCTCCACGGGTTGTCATCAGTGACCGTAAAGAACAATTTATCGCCGATGTGGTTGAAGAAATTTTGCGCCTCTGTGGCTCCTCTTATCGCCACTCCAGCCCTTACCATTCGCAAACTAACGGTCTCACTGAGAAAACAAATCGAACTCTTACGAATATGCTATTGATGTACGTTGGTGCTGACCACAGGAACTGGGATGCCTTCTTACCATTTGTTAATTACTCGTATAACACCGCCAAGCATGAAGGTACTGGACATTTGCCCTTCTTTCTGCTTTACGCACGAAATACATGCACTTTTCTGGGCACTCTATTAACTTTCTCGCATCAGGAAGATCTGTCCATCGCTCAGACGTTGTGTCGCGCTGAAGAAGCACGTCAACTAGCGCGCCTTCGAACATTGTCTTCTCAAGAACACAGCAAGAGTCGCTACGATGCCAAGCATATCCCCGTAGAGTTTTCTCCTGGCGACTACATTTGGCTGTGGACTCCTGTTCGTAAAAAAGGATTGTACCGGAAGTTTCTAGCAAACTATTCCGGCCCATTCGTGATAGTCACTCGTCCCAGTGACGTGAATCACGTTGTCGCCCGAGTCACAGCCAATAACCGGTGTTTGCGCGCTATGCAAATTGTTCACGTAGCCCGCCTCAAACAGTACCATCATAGGCTTATTTAACTCGCTCGTCGAGCTTCGTCTGCCGCCGGGGGAAATGCAATGAAGATGCTTGAGCATACGGGGCATGGAAGAAGAAGAAGAAGAGTAGTGGAGCGGCGCTTGGACTGTGTGGTTGGGTGAAGCGGACAAGGCCTGTCTCAGAAGTACGCTGCTCTTTCCCAACGCCATTTCACCTCATCTGCAAATAAATACAATCACTTGTAACAATATGTTCCTGAGACACACTTGTGATGAGCCCAATAGCTGGAATGCTCAAGAAATTCGAAATCAATTTGCAAAAGATGCAAAACGAAAGCAAGAAGATGCAAAACGAAAACCGAAGCCCGACAGGGTGCCCTGTCTGCATATTATGTACTATTTGGTAAGAATTGGAGGCCGTATACTGGTCTCGTCGGCGCGTAGTATGAAAACTGTGAAAGGCAGACCAGCGAAGCGCCGGCCAAACACCACAGAGGAAGGAAGAAAGCTTTCCCGTCCTATACTCATGCCAAACACCGCCACCGTCGCCTTGTGGCCAGCACAATAAATGCTGTAGCAGCCAAAGTAGTGATGCTGTTGGCTGAGTCACTTTCGTTGACATGCCAAACATGACGTCACACAGGCCAGCGAGGTGAGCTTTTCGAGATAATCTTTAAAATTCACTTACAAACAATCAGCGCATCTCTCAATCCTGTGATTTGACATAAATAACAGAAATGGACAAAAGAACATACCCAGCAAATTTTATTGAGATTCACTGACCTCGAAAAATCGTCGAAGTTGCACTTCGACGATTTACGTCGAAGTGCAGTTATTCTTCGTCGAAGTTGCACTTCGACGAAGAATAACTGCATTCCCCTATCATTGAAGAAAGAACGGCAGCAATAGGAGCACACAGTTCAAAGTTATTCAGCCTATCAAATTCAAAATACAATAAAATTGAAGCCATGGGGTCACTTGACCACGTTTTCCTCGCCCTGTGACGTAGGATGGCTCCCCGATGAAATGAACCAAATACTCTTATGTGTGGGAAGCTTGCATGCCATATTGCCTGTATTTGCGACATATTGATGACGCCATTGTGATAGTAACAAACAATTTGATGCTTGAGGAGTGAACCGCATGTAAAAAATGAGCCAGATTGCGAACGCTCTTATGGTATTATGCAGTTTTACTTACCTTTTGTGTTGAGATTGCGTCTATATCAATGCTCTTACATTTTTTTCGCCTCACTTTCTTCAAGCAACGGCACGTGGGGAGTCCTCGGCACGTTTCCTCCTGTGCCATGTCCCCAGAACATTTTCTCCTGTGCCGTGGCGTTTGGTGCATTTTTTGACTGGCTTTACAGCTTTCAAGCTGGAAAAGTTGGAGAACTTTAGTCTCTTCCACGTTCAGTGAAAAACCACACTAAAGAAAAAAAAAAAAAACCCAATAGTAATCCCTATTTTGAGGCAATGCCGTAATTACATCTAGTGTTACATTTATCCAATCACAGGCCTGCATTACACGTCATCACTTCCACTCACAATAGTTCTGGCAAGCGCCACTACCTGTTCATGCGGTCAGCACCAATGTTGTGTAGCATTAGAGGGCCCCTTTAAAGAACACCTAATGGTCTAAGTTTCTGGAGTGCTCCACTATGGTCACATAGTTATATAGTTGGTTTGTGACATTTAATCCCAAATATTATTATTATCATTATTATTGCAATATGGTGTGGTGGTGTGCATATCATAGGTAGTAGTCGTAGATTTATTTTAGCAACACTTGACAGTAGCTTGAGGTGTCAACGTTTATTATATTATATAAATACCGATGGGGGGGGGAAGCACTGCAACAACAGTCCGTGTTTTACCGATATGGCGCTTGTTATATCGGTATAAAGCTTTTTTTCTAAAGCAATTCGAAGAACTGATGTGGCTCTGTAGCAGAATACTTGACTGCCATGCAGAATACCTGGGTTCAATTCCATGTTCAGACCTGATTTTAATTTTTTTGCTTTCATAGGGTCTTGCTAATTGACAACACTGTCGATGTCAGCCCCAGATTTTTTATAACATGGCATCCTTAATGATATCGCATTCACATTTACAGTCTTTTGATGCTCCTTGGTTGATATAGACAGTGGATCACCCATGGCATGTGCCTATATAGGTATTATCAGCCGTGTTATGCATGTATGTGCTGCATGTGACTGTTGGAAAGGGTTTCATGACCAACACAACAGGCAAGTTGCGTTATTTATGTCATGATCTGTGAATCATGGTTCATTATACACTCATGTCCTTCTCTACTAAGTTTCGTACATACCAAGCAAATGAGACGATCACAATACCACCCAGATGTAGATGGCTAGATACACATATACATAGGTAGATAGATAAGAACAGTCAAACTGCCAGGGGTTCACTAGGAAATGCTTTGCACTTAAAAAGGTATGGTTGACATAACTGATGTGGTGGTGCATAACGCAGACACCTGTCTTGCACTGAGCATGTAATGTCGATAGTATGAAAAGTGTTAGTGTTGTCTGCCTGCTATTACCGTAGATTGCTGCTTATTTGAGAGTTTTCTTGCCATGTCACCATCGGTATTTTAAATTTGAAACTTATTAAGAGTTTTGAAAGATAGCTCAATTTATTATTAAAGGCAATGTCTTTTGAAGAAGTTACCTCATCCTTTCTTTTCTATTCCATGCCTAAGACTGGTGTAGTAGAAAATTGTGGCCATTTCCCATGGTATGTGCAATTTGAACATATACTAAAGGCTTTTCCTGTGGGTATGTGCAGTCCCCAAATGCAGACCAATGCTGAAGACAGCACGGCGAAAAAACTTCTGGCAGCCCTACTCTCCTCACACCAGGGGCAACACAATAGTGTCCTGGGTCAAGACTTTACCACTATCCAACTGAGAATGAATGCAGGAAGGGACTATTTTTTTTAATGTATAGTATTAGTTGACTTGCCTTTCTTTTTATTTGTTAGATCATCAGGCAACTTGACTTATACTGCCTACTAGCTGTATTCTGAAAACATTCTGTTTTACCTTCTACAGGAATGCTGCTAAAGGGTGCAGTGTGCACTTTGGAAAAACAAAAATGTAAATTAACACTAGTGCAATACATTTTTTTTACTGGTCCTAGGTAATAAAAGACTACAGGAAATGATGGGCATCATGGCTGAAGAGCGCAATGCCAGGTTATTTGCCACGGATGAAAGGTATACATTGAGACTTGACTTTTTCCTCATATTACAAGCAACTCTGGAATGTCAGCCTTAAATTGGACATATTGGTTATATTCCCCCCTTTCCACTACTGATTGAGGGTGCTTATTTGCAAAAGCTATTTCTGGTGATGCATATGCTTATATATGTGATTCACAGAGCATCACATCATAGCAGTGCACATTTCTTCGTGCCATGATGCTTCCGCTGCTTATATTTTTAATACACTCATCAACTATAGTATATGGACAAGTGATACTGGGAAACATATTCCTGTAAATTTCTTTTCTCACTTCTGCTTTCTAAGGCTTATCCGACCTCCAAAAGTCTGAAGCAATGTTACTGAAAATGTTTCAGTTGATACAGCTGTAGAAAGTAATGTCTTCACCCGCCGCGGTGGTCTAGTGGCTAAGGTACTTGGCTGCTGACCCGCAGGTCGCGGGATCAAATCCCCGCTGCGGCGGCTGCATTTCCAATTGAGGCGGAAATAGTGTAGGGCCGTGTGCTCAGATTTGGGTGCACGTTAACAAACCCTAGGTGGTCAAAATTTCCGGAGCCCTCCACTATAGCATCTCTCATAATCATATCGTGGTTTTGGAATGTTAAACCCCACATATCAATCAAAGTAAGGCCTTCATGATCACAACACCTTTCATTTGTACAAACATCATTATGGAAAACATGTATGCATTTTATTGTTTATTGGATACACAGAAAGATCATATGGGTGTCATTGTGCACACCTTGATACACAAATTAAGTAGTTTTTATGGTGAAAATATCATTTTGAGCTTTGTTCTGCAATTATTTAGAAAAACTTTCAGTCCTTTATGTTGCTGGCTGCTGTCTGCAAGCTGAGCATTAGTTGCACTTTCCAGTGACTACAGAAATTTTTTTCATGTCTCAAGTGAACTTATTAATTTTCCTGAATGATATACACTCACAAACACACACATGTATGTTGCTGGAAGCCTTATGTATGTATGCATAAGAAAAAAACCACAGCACAAATGGCAGTTTGTCCAATACACCTGTATTAACATAAGGTCTGCTTGTTCTGACAGTAACGTAGCCACCGTAGACCACTGCACACGTACAAATGTTTTAAGTGAATGCATGAGATCACTTTAGGGTCTCATGCATTCACTTAAAACAACTTGAAGGCGAATGCCATATGATGTGGCGAAGCTGGAGCAGTGGCTTTACTGGTTGTTATAAAGTATCTCAAGGTGCCTATTGCTAGTATAGTTATAAAGTACCGACTGTACCATAATTCATCTTATCTTGAAAAAGCAAAGTACCCACTAAGCCTCTAGGGCAGTGTGTGCACCTTCGTAGCAGCACACGGTGTTAACGCTGGGTCTGATGATAATGATGAATTGTGGCCAAGCCCTTTGCAGTAGCTGGACACTTTAGACCACCCACTCATTATGCAATACCCATGGTGCGACACATGATGCAGTTCTACGCTTCCGCCACACAATCTTACATCTCATGATAAGACCCCCCTTCAGCTGGCACGACGCCTGTATATGGTCTTTTTCCAAACAAATGTTAAGCACTGACCTAGTTCTGTGACAGAATGCTTGGCTGGCATGCAGAGTGCCTACACTTGAATCCAGCTTGACCCCGATTTTTACTTCTCTTTGTGCATGACGTTATGCGAGTTTTTATACTACATGCCATCTGATGAGACACTTGAGGCTTTCGCCTTGAAGGGACCCTGCAAAATTCTATGATAGGCTTGTGCAAACATTCGAACAAATATCAGTGTTCGAATTCGCTTTCCTTTTAATTTAAATTATTGGAAATTTTAACGTATTCGAAATGTACGAATGTGTGTATATTAGTCCGCGTGGAACCCCCTGTAAATAATGGCTTCACTGCAGCGAAGGGGCACTGTGCTGCGAAAGCACCTATCTGCCGGTAATTCGCATGGCCACGAAGCCCTGCTTCGGGGTTAAATGAACACAATGAACATATTACTCTCTGTTACAAGCTGCCACTCTAGCGTCGCCAGCGCGAAGTCGGCGACGGGAATGACAGCAGGTTGGTTCGTTCCGTACGCAAGCAGAGACAGTGAAGAGATCAGAGACGTGAGAAAACAAAACAAACCTTACTCTAGTGATATTGCAGCACACGGGATCTAGTACAACACTTCAATACAACTAACAAAATACATCAGCACTTGATACAACAAAAAAATATATAACAAACAATAACTCAGCTTACGAGAGAGAACTATTACAAACTACACAAACTAACAACAGTAGACTACGGAGTAGAAAGTTCGAAGATATAAACAGGTGAAGGCATACGTGTGATGACCGGCAGCGTTGCGTCTCCGACGATCGGATGCGAGAAGTCGAAGAGAGTTCTGGCACGACTGCGATGTCGGCGGTGTTGCTACGCTGGTGGCTCCAAGAGGCTAGTGCTTGCAGGTGACTTCGAGCAGGTTGAGTTAACTCGAGGCGAAGTCCCGATGTCTACGTTGCAGATGTTAATATCGCGCCACACCTAGACGAACAGCTAAGTTTAGGTGGCTAGCCGATACAGAGCCACACTAAAAACTTCTACAAGAGATGCTTGTTGATCTGTTTCTACACCATGTTGGTCAGCGACTAGTCTGCCTAGCAGGGCAAAATCCTGCGCTTAAATCCCCCTCGTGTCTCCTCGCTCTCTTCCTTGGGGACAAGAGACCTCTATATGGGTTCAATCATGCACGTTTAATTGATGAAAACTCCGCCCCAAAAATATATTGACCCCACCCCTATTTAATTGGGAGAGGGCCCTCAACTAGCGAGAGTGAGAACCTGTTAGGTTGTTGTCATACGGCTTGGCCACCAGAGGGTTTTCCCACGCTTTTCCCCGTGGAAACGGTCAAACCGTTTGGCTCTCAGCCGTTGCGTCTCGTAGTCTAATCCTTGTTCAGGGTACATCGCGGCCTTCTACGACCTTGCAGACGCCGCCGCAGTTACAAAAGGATCAACCGTCGGCGGCGACGTTCTAAGAAGAGCACCCCACTCTGCACTTCTCAGCTCCCTTTCATGCGCCCGCCGTTCCCACGGTCAGTGGGGAAGTATGGCGCCAGTTAATTGCCGTGACGCCGGGTCGTCAAAATTGGCCGTTCGTGACACTCTCACATCGATTCATCGTTTTGTTGTTGTTTTTTTACAATTTAAAAGCTTGTTATACCGGTTTATATGCTCCAAGTGTAATAAATTTTAATACCTAACGTATTTTAGTGGTTATCATTTGCATTCTATCAAAAGTCAAATCTTGCTACTATTCAAAGTTGCTTTGCACCAAAAAGAATGGCATTCGCACATGCTTTGCGTCAATTTTTGAAAATATTGTGCAGCTTAGTTGGGCCATGACAAAGATGCCCATTTTTATTTATAATATGCGATATATAATACTCGGACTCGATTCAAAATTGTTTGATCGAATCACTATTCGCTTCAAGTTCGCTTTGAACATAAAATCAACACTATTCACAGAAGCCTACTTTTTGAGCATGGTCAGGAAATGCTCCCGATCTATAGTCGAGGATCCCGAGAGAATTTGAGCCAAATACACGACATGGAATTTACAATTAATTTGGAGTAATCTAGAAATAATTTCGTCTTTTCTCGACAAATGACGCCACCTCAAACCCAAAGTCTACGACCATTAGCTGAGTCGAGCATCATGTGTGGCATGGTAACTAGTACCACCGCAGGATGCTGCCAGAAGCTTTCTTGCAATCACTCTGAAAATAAGCTACATGTTCGAAGAAAAAGAAAAAAAAAAGGGGGGGGGGGAAACTCTGATACTCTGCCCTTTGGAAAAATTCCCCTCTGTGTAGCTTTCAGCTTTCTCACTGGTGCTTAAAGGCGCCCTGCAACACTTTTTGAGCATGGTCAGAAAACGCTGCTGTTCGACAATAGAGGCTCCCAACAATACGCGAGCCAAATATTAAAGCACAGCACGTGGCCTGGAATTCACAATAAATTATCAAAGACAGCTGAAAATTGCTTTCTTTTTTTTCAATAAATCATGGAAGGCGCTCAAAAATTACACGTAGCTAGCCCATCTATCAGCCATTAGCCGATTTGAACATCACAGAGATCGCCATGGGAAGCCGCAACTTGTCTACGCATGCGGGCGCGATCACACTGAAAAAGCCACGCATTAGAAGAAAAGAAAAGAAAAGTGCTTAAGGTCACGAGGCGCGCGTGACGTTTTTCTTTGCCCCTGCCATCCCTCCCTGCTTAGTTTCCAGCACTTTCGTTAGGACGAGAGAAGAGAGAATGCAATTGCAGTATGCGACAAATCTTTGTAGCTCCACTCGCACTGGACAGATCCTTAAAATGTTTACGGCGTTGAATTTGTGAGGCAATAAGCTCTTCCAGTGGACTCGCTCTTTGGATTTCGTGCCGACCGGTCGTGCCCTTGCGATCTCCGACGACAACGCAGCTCTGGCCGACTGGGCTCGCCCTACTCCATCTCCTGACGCCGACAAGAGCTCTCGCCGAGTGGTGCCCTGTCCTCGGACTCCTGCGACCATGTCCATCTTTCCCATCTCCTCCTTCCTCTCTCTATCTCTTTACCTTTTAATCCCTCCTTTACCCCCACTTCTTGTGAGCTACTGTTGAGGTGTCCTCCCCCTGAGAAACAGTTACGGTGCTCACTTTTCTCTTCTTTTCATTTAAAATCACTCAAACGCTTCCAGTGAATTCATTCCATTGTTACTTGAAAAAGTGTTGCAGGGTCCCTTTTAAGGAGAGAGAAAATGCTTAAGCATGTAGCAAAACACTGTAACTTCACTCGTACTTGATGGATTCTAAAGCTTTTTGTGGCAGTCCATTCGTGATGCAATAAGCTTGTTTGATGAAGCCATTTGATGACTATTTAAAAAAGTGTTGCAGAGCTCCTTTAAGAAGATACATCGTTGTGCTGGTGTGTCTGGCTGCAATGGTGATGTTACCATTGCAAGTAGGCTGTTGTATATAGGTGGTGTTAATTTGACTCACCTTCTCATTCTTTAAGTCATACAAAAAACTCAGGTGGCTGAAATGTTTCATACTTTATGCAAAGTTTTGTCTTTTTAGCAGTGTTCTGCATACAAAAGTGATACCTAATGTACTGTTCACTGAATCAAGATTTCTAGAGTAGTTTTTTTTCTTTTGAAATTATCTTTGTTAAGGCTTACATTCCCATTATTAATATAATATGTTGCTTCCTGCTTTATGCACTGTATGAAGGGAAGACCTTATTTGAAAACAAGTTGGCTCCTGTTCACTTGCCACCCTCAGCTCTTTGCTTCCTAGTTCTCCAGATAGTGGACAACTATATCATGAGGTGCAATTGAAAGGTAGTACAAAAAGCAGCTAGTACATAGCATATAACACTCACCAAAAACTGCCGTTGCCAAGAAGATTGCCAAATATATTGAGTATCTGTTTCAAGCATGCATTGGTTATTCAAGCTGAATTGAATCGGTTATGGCTGCCAAAGATGGCTGCATTTAATCCGGTAAAGAAAGATTAGATGCAGCCACCCTTATTCTTGCAGTTTCTTTAAGTATATGTTTGTACAAGATATTTTTACTGTGCCTAAATTCAGAGTTAAGGAAAGTGTAATTTTAAGGGCTCATTTTTCTTTGTTAGACACAATATTAATGAGGACCAACAGACAGTAATGCGAGTGAAAATATAGTGGATGTTATTAGAAGGAATTGTAATGTAAATGTGAAGAAACAAAAGTGGACGAAAAGATAACTTGCCACTGGCAGGATCCGAACCTGCGACTTCGAATAACGCGTCTGATGCTCCACCACTGAGCTACGGTGGTGGTCATCCCCCCGTCTACGTTATAGGGTATATATACGTAGTGAAGTCGCAGGTTCGGATCCTGCCAGTGGGAAGTTATCTTTTCGTCCAATTTTGTTTCTTCACATTTACATTACAATTCCTTCTAATAACATCCACTATACTTTCCCTCGCATTGCTGTCTGTTAGTCCTCATTATTATTGTGTCTAACAAAGAAAAATGCGCCCTTAAAATGAGCTAAATGAGCCCTTAAACCGTAGAAGCATCAGTAAGTGCCACCTGTTGCCATTACGGCAAGTGTGGAAAACGAGCCCTTAAAATTACTTTTTCCTTCATTCATAGCGAGGGTCTCGTTCTGGCAGACTTTATGCCCTTGATGGTACTATGCGAGAGAAAATTGATCACTTGCCATCTTGTAATAAGATTACATGCTATGTGACGCCAAACAGGCAAGAATGTTCCACACCCACCGCAGTGGCAACAGGTGGTAGTGACTGACATTCCCACGGTTAAATGCACATATATACCCAGTAACGTACCAACTCTTTCGCGAGTTGGTGGGCAGACCTACCTCAGTCATCAGCCAGGACACACACGCACACACACACACACACACAGAGAGAGAGAACTTCATTGACGTGCTAGCACTTTGATATGAATTCGCATACACAGAGGCCTCTCTCTCTTTCTGCAATTACGCTTTGGCGGTTAACATCTGCAGATACCACAATAGTTTAATAAATTTATCATGGACGTTAGTCGTCGGGGTGGAGATGTACCAAGTGTCAACGAGGACACATATATAAACGTTAAACGGGGTTATATTTGCCAAACACTAAAACATACATTCGGCAAACCCTCATTTATCAATTTACAGTAAATATTCAGTTACCTTTGTAAAGTTGCATTTTACTTTTGCCTTTTACTGCCGCTATAGCTACAACTTCCAAGTTACCATAAGCAAGGCTGATCAGGTTTGTCAGAGACTAAAACGGAAACAATTTTTGGCGTTTCAGAGCGGAAAAACTTAAACATCAGAAACGATTCGTCACACTCATCGGCTCACAACAGCTTCGACAGAGCAGCGGTGACGATATACCCTTTTCGAAAAAAATTATTTTCTAGTCCATAAAAAGTTTGCTTGTTTGAATCAGTAACTGCATCAACAAGTCACAGCAGAATAAAAGGATGAGCAAGTGATGCAATATTATGGGGCCTCTGTGCAGCACTTGCCTCCTCTGCAATACTACAGCGCAAGACGCCGAAACGTCGCATAGGCGACCTGCGCCGCAAAGAATCTACAAGAAAAATAATCATAGCAGAAATGTTGGCAAAATTTCACTATGTTGTAACATTCCCTCGTAACATTGCGTTGGTTCCCCAGGCTGCAGCCAAGAGAGACATCTCTCAAAAGTGGGGGGGCTCAGCCCCCCCCCCCCCCCCTACTTTTTCCAGTAGGAGAGCTCGTGCCGATCTTGCCCCCCCCCCCCCCCTCCCCCGGCTGGTACACCTATGTATATACGCTATAAAGTCGGCGGGTGGGATGACTGCCGCCGTAGCTCAGTGGTAGAGTATCAGACGCGTTATTCGAAGGTTGCATGGTCGAATCCTGCCGGTGGCAAGTCATCTTTTCGTTCACGTTTCTTTTTTCACATTTACATTACTTCTAACAACATCCCATATACTTTTCCTAGCATTACTGTTAGTTCTCATTAAAATTTTCAAATAGTACCTCGCTCATCGGATAGGTATCGAAATTTCATAACAGGCATAACAAATTTTTTACAGATTTTGCATCGATAATGGAGCAATGATTGCTCAAGCTGGTTGGGAAATGTTTCGATCTGGGCAAGTAACGCCCTTTGAAGAAACAACCTGCACACAACGGTAATTTATTCGTTTTTTTACCTGTACTTGATGGTTATTATGCATGTACACCAGTGAATACTACAACCAGTTGGAATATTCCTCCCAAGTTGCAGCTTGTTTACGAAATTTGCAGTCATCCTATGTGGCAAAGCATGTGAAATGAATGATACGGCTGAGGTGGGATCTTTGGCAAACCGGCAATTCATAATTGAAAGCAGCATACAGTAAGGTGATGTGCACAAAAGTAGATGCACATTTCACTTGAATAGTTTGTTCTTTTGAAGCTAAGTTGACAAATTATTGCTGGGTCAGCACAAAACAGTTACCTTGTTCATTATTTATAGGCATGGCACATGCAAACACAGTTGTGCAAGACTAGAGCTCATTTTCACTCAGCACAAATAGACTTCTGTGATAACTGGTGGTATTCAAGCTCATTCAAGTCTATTTACGCAGCTGTAAAAAAATTTCACACTGTTAGTAGCAACTCGTGTAATATACCAGAGTGATTACTAGTACTTGCTGCATTGCAAAGGTGGAATTTTGATAATTGTGGGGAATTCCTTCAAAATAATTACTTGGCTATGCCTTTGTATGTTAATTCAACTGACTTGCTTTCCAATGGATTTCTCACATTGCTTTCAGGTATCGAACTGATGAAGTGGAAGTGACATGGAGAAACTGATTTTTTAATGTGTTCATTTTAAAACTGCCAGGCCTGTGCAGAATGCAGAGTACAGTCACATCGAAAGCTAGAAGAGCGGCCGTTTTGGAACCTTTTTTAAACAATCTTTGGGTGACTACCTACTACAGCTACACTTGCAGGGCACCAAATTCACAATAAATCATTGTAATTTTTGTGTAGTAGGGAGGCATTTGCCATGCTATTCTTCGGAGAAGCATAGTACCCGCTATGCACTTGCAAGGAATGTGAATATTGTCGATGCTGTAGCTGATAACGATTAAAAATGATGCCAGAGGCTTTTGTAATGGGTTGGAACATTTGACCACCCAGTCATTAAATAGCACTTTGCATTGCGTGATGGTTGGTTGTCTCTTTGATGTCCTAAAATGCTTCATTACACATGTGTTAACATTATTTCTTACCCTACATGAAGCCTTCTTAAGGTCAGTTTGCAACGGAGTTTCAAGCACCGGAGTAGCTCAGTGGTAGAATGCCGGGGTGCCGCGCAGAGGGCCCGAATTTAATTCTGCCCTCAGTGCTTTTTATCTATTTAGTTTATTTCATTTCACACATTAATGCTCAAGGACACTGGTGTTGGCGGCGGCAGACAACTACAGCACCAAAAACGACCCCTTTTGTGATCTCATAGCAGCTTTCGCTGTAAAACAAGGCTTTTACCAGGTATAAAACTGCTTACTTTGCAAGATAAACTGTTGCTGGGCAGGTCGTATGCTAATTATAGTTTGTTAGCCTGCACAGAAAGAAGCATCACCATAAACGGGTGGAAGAATATTGGCACGAATCTTTTTTCAGAGAGCTCAGCTATAAATTCAGCAAAAATGTGTTAAGAGAAAGCACTTCGACAAGAAACAGTATTCCCAGGTTTTATTCATGGCCTTCTAAGGATGGAGAAATGCAAGAGTTACAGAAATACTCTGCTACAGCTGCACAGCAGAGTGCATGCCAAAATGGAAAAAAATATATCAGCAGGAGAGCTGGTCAAAAATTCATCAAAAAAATAAATAAATGGTAAGAAAAACATAACATAGTTGCTGCAGTTACCAATAACTGTCTGAGCTGCCAGTCCACTTTAAATGGCCTCAATTAGCCTAAAACTTTCCGTGCTGTTTCATGGCATTGCAATACAAAATCTGAAACTAACATCGGACAATGCTTCACAGGAACTGCTTAAAATTATTAGACTTGAGGCTATTGTAGCCACAATACTGGCAGATAGCAAAATGGCAGTTTTACAGTGGTTTTCGTTGACTGTTACTACATCAGCAACATTTGTGCTTCGCAGCTACAGCAGTTCGTCGACTTCCAGTCTGCTGACGACACAATCTGATGAATCCTCCCCCAATCTCTTTTGTTAATGCGTGTAGCAATGTGCATTGTAGGCTCATGCACAGTACCACATATTTTAGGTAAAAATATGTCAATGTGTTGTGCAGATTAGACAAGCCTGTCACCCCATACAGTCTAGACAATAAGCTGATTAGTAGCAGCTGACGATGGGTGCTTGTAGCAAGGCAGTGTTTCATTGCACTTTAAAGGCCACCACTTGGTGCTCTATAGTCATGAGCAATGACACCATCTTGACAAGTATGTAGCAGTCACAAATTGCGGCATAATCTCTGCCTTCTGCAACCAGCACAAAAGCATACCTAGGGTGCTAAAAATTGCCATTGCTATACCTGCAAATGAACAACTATTTCTGGCCCCTATAACCATTGCGGTTAAAGCATGCTGGCACCAACCAGGATGGCATTTCAAGAAGCTTTGGCTAAGCCTGGTCATATGTCAAACACATCAGAACTGGAATGCTGCAAATAATGCTCAGACTCATAGTCAGTCGCTAGAGGCATGTATGCCAGAATAGAAATTGAACATGCGAGGCACATTTTTGTCAAATAAGATTGTGCCATTGCTTCGGTGTTTCTTTTCTACAAGCAGAATGGGAAAAAAATTTTTTTTTCTTGCAACAAAAGTAAAAAAGTAATCAACCCATAAACAATGTGCTAGAAATAAAAAGGACGGTTTCTAATTTGGCAGCCTTTCAAAACCCTGGGCATGTCTTTCAGGTGGAATGATGAAGTTTATTTTCTAACGTAATGCTTACCACTGCCACAATAAACCTCAAAATGCAGCATAAGCACAACAAAACAAGGCTTAGATCTATAACACTACAGAGCATGCAGTCACCTGCTGTTTGGCTATATTTATACACTTTACACGGAATACAAAAATGCTGGCATAAAGCGAATGCCCCGAGGACCGGAGAAAATGGAGGTTATTTAGGCCAGCGCATACCGGGGAAACAACCATCCTAAATTGCAGAAGACCACATTTTGTGGTAAAGGATCTCAGCAGTAAACCCATCCAACTCTATACAGCTGCCAAGAGAGAGTTCAACAAGGCGCAGTGTTCATAACATACTGCAACTCTTACAATGGTCCCACTAAGGACAAGATGCTTAGAAGCTCCAACATTGTCAAAGAACTGAAGCTCAGTGGAGCTAACAAATAACGTCACCCACACAGTTCTCCATGGAAGTATACTCAGAGTTGCAACAAAAATGATCTACAGTGCACAACTCCCTATCTCGCTAGTTAGTATTGTTGACTGTATACAATAGATGAAAAAACTAGTTGAACAACTGCAACGACTAAACACATCCATGAAAAATATGCAGCAGCAATGTGTACATATGTATTTTTTTAATTGCAAATCGGCCTGTACATTCTATGTGCGTTTAAGCGAAGCACTTAGCTTTAAAAAATGCATTAAGTGCTTTTTGAAATAAAATGACCCGTTCTTTTACTGTAAAGGTAACACAAACTTGCAACTAAAGATAAAACTTTGTGTGTTATATGGTGCAAAGCACTCAGTTGAGAACATCTTTAGCTTTAACATGTTTAAAAGAGTACTCACAAAGAAATTTACCATGTTTTCTCTGTCACAATAAGCACGCAATGAGCCACTTATTACGGCTGAAAGCCTTGCTTGCTTTTTCATGAAATGGTTAAATATTTGAAGAAGTTTTATGGTGCCTAAATAGAGCTGTGGTTTCAGTAAGACCAGGCTGTCTCTCCCTTTTTGTAAACAGAGCTAGACATGCGAGCACATAAAACAGTCCCTTACGTGCACAGGGCAGAGAGCAAACTCGAGGAGCAGGGCAGCCAACACAATTGCTTGATGTAGTAGATTGGTGGTTGTTTACAATAAACCCAAGTTAATGTGTATGAGGTGCTCCAGTTCACGCTTAGATGCATGACATGCTCTTTGAAGTTGATTTCAAGTTCTTGGTTACAGTACCTGTTGATATTTTGTAAATGTGTGCATGTCCACACAAACCCATCTAGGAAGTTATCTAATTTGCAGTTATCTAATTTACAATTTTGCATGGGTACCCTTTTAATGTATTTTTCTATGCAAGAAATGCCCTCATATAAGGTCGTCTGAAGCAAGACTAGGGGGAACAGAGGCTATGTAAAGGCTGCACAATGTAGAGCCTTCAAGGTTGTGCTTATTGGGCATAAAGTACAGTACACTGTGGCACCATACATGTAATGACACTCAGTCTATAAACAACACAAGAGTTTGAAAGAAGTACTAGAGGCAATTAATGTTGAAGCAGGTTCCTGAAATGCATGTTTGTCATTACAAGTACGTCAGACAGTAATTTGAAGGTAGTGCTACGGGGTAGTGTTAGTGCCGTAACAGTAGCATGACAAGTAAAAAAATGAGTGAAAAAGAAAAGTACATATATGTGGGTAGCAATGCTAGCTTGAAGACCCTGTATCATCTTGCCATGATGTTACATTGACAGTGGCAGCTTGATGATAGTTAATCACTATTACTCTTCATTGAGGATTAAAGTTCATTCATATGTGATCAGAGGCTCAAGCAGATTATTGTAACTATTCCTGTGCAAGTGCATGAAAAAACAAAAGGCAAACACCCATGAAAATTCTAATTACATCATACTGGTATTGAATGAAAGAAGGAAATTTTGAAGGTTCAATTTTTTGTATAACATTAATGAATACCAGCACACTGGTATTAAAATTTGAGTATGAAATTCAGAAAACAAACATTTGAATTTTTCACCACTACATTAATATGACAATTTGAGTTTGAAGTTCAAAGAGGAAACATTTGAATTTCTCCAGTTTTTTTTTCTTTCCATACAAACAATGCAAAAAGAGTTCCAAACAAGTTGAACAAGAAATGCACTAGAGCAGAAAAAACGCGCTCTAAATGAAACACTACACGACAAGGAACAGGACCAGTTCTTTCTATTGTTTCATCGACGTTACTCTCATGCTTGTTTTCCTTATTCACTCAAACGAACTTGCCACAAAAATTTTTCATTTCAATACAAGAGCAGCTGCAATATTGTTTAATGTTAAGTGTGTTTGCTAATTTGCTGTTGCCTGCTGCATTAAAAGTGTGTCACTTTCAAAAGGTTGCATCTAGTACACCAAGTTAAATGGCCTGTAGAGAATTTGGCTTGAAAGAAATATTAATGTAAAGTGAGAAATTATGTGACAAACATGCGGCCTAGGAAAAGCACAGCCACTTAATTTTAATAAACACATGAATATAAATCCAGATGCCCCATTTGCACTAATAAGTATAACCTAAATGATATGCTACTAAGGGAACCATGGTTAAGACATGCATGATTTAAGGAAAATGCAGCATTCAGTAATGTTATTGGCAACTCTATAAATGAAGCAGAGCTACTCTTGCACAGAAATGCACAAAAAGCCAGATAGAAAGCAAAATATTGTAAAGCTGCTAAACATAGTTTGTTGTAGTTGCTTCGGAGTTAAATTGAACAATTTATAGCAGTTGTAACAGTGAATCACAAAGTACTGTAAAATGAAGTTTGTTATTTTCACTCAGAACGTGTTGAATATCCACAGTAACAGCCTCTCTTTGAGCACATGCATAGCTGTTTTCCAGTTTCCACATGGTAGTGTACATTCAAGTAAATTGCACACGCTATTGAAGAGAACAAGAAGAGCAGCTGACATGAGCACCCTGGATGGACGATGCCAGTAGTGCACAGTCACAGTTTTAGGAAACAAGTGGCAAGCTAATACACATGTCCCTAAGGGAACTAAATGGTACCAGTGCCCCAAAGTGTAAGAGTTGGTAAAATATAAGAAATCTGAATGTATGAACTAGATTCTGCTGCAAAGCCAGACTGAGATGGCCACCGAGGCCACCGAGGTAACCTTAGTACTGTTCTTCATGCATGATGTTATAGGTGCATATACATTACTAAAGCAAATTAAGAAAAATGAAATAGTGGTGGCTGTGTCAAAAGAATGCTGTAACTCACTGTGAAAACTAACTCGCACTTTGTGTTAATTGTGCATTTATCTACACGCAATAGGACCAAAGTGGCCCCACTGCCTACTTTGATGGGGAAAAAGTTAATGGTAGAACATGTTCTAAGTGCATTTTGATTGCTGTACAAAACAAATTCCTTTTTTCACTCACTTGTAGAGCTGCAACAACCTGCCTGACTTTATCTTAAGTTTAGCCACATGAAAGTGATTAACTGATTTCCTGCCTATAAAACAACTGTAAAAACACAGTAAGATGGCAGCACCAGTATTACTTTTATGTAACGGTTCACTAGTTGAAGATATTGTTACCTACAGCGTATGGAACCTGTGTGGAAAGCCCACAAAGTCTGGACATGCAGCCCGAATCAGCGGCAGTTCTGTTTAGGCAAGTATTAACGAATATTTCCCTGTATGTAAAGTAAGCATGGTGGTGCACAAATGCATGACCAAGCTAAGGTGAAATTGACTTTTTTTTCACTGAGCATGTCTTGCTAAAACTTTGGAGTTGGTAGTTCCTATATGCAGAAAGTTTATATGCACACTATGCATCTAAATATTAACCGTGCAGTGTTATGAACTACTACACCGTAATCTTTGAAATGCAGACATAATGTCTAAAAATAAAATTAATGCTAGCAAAACTATCTTAATCACTCACTTTGACTTAAATATAATGTGCGTCTGTCCCTTTGAGCATCTCCGGTACAAATCCACTCGTTGTAAATTCGTGCTGGTACAAGGAGCACACAATGAACTGAAACAAAAACTGTTCATTGGCACGATTTTCTGCATTCACGACTCAATTCACTGAATGTCCTTTACATTTTCTTTGTAGAAAGCCCATCACAAAGTGCCAAAAAAAAATGTTTCTTTTGACAATGGCTTTCCCAGTATTATGCTGCCTGAAATATAAGCTCTAAAAAAAAGTAGAAGCATTTTATGCACAACACGTCGTGTATCATATATTGGCACATGCGCACCTGGGGTGAGCTATCACTATCTTCTCTATCTAACCGGAACCATTACCCACCAAGAAGCTCACTGCGGTCGCGAGCACAAGCACCGTGTTTCGCGTCACCGCAACGTCGAAAATGTTGAGGAATGCAAATACTTTTGCAAATGCATTGTTTCAAAACACAAAAGTAAATAGCTTTTTTTTTTCCTTTTTTTTCCTTGTGTCCTTTTGGCATCATCACATGATGGCGCAACAGTCTTTACGATGTGGTTCACCCACAATCTCTGAAGGATCACTACGAAAACGTCGAAGAGATGTTGATGGCGAAGGGGGAGCTTCGTAGCTCGGTTTGCGAACAGTGGCACTGAAATGGTGCTGGTGTCCATTTTGTCCGAGTGCTGTAGCAGATGCTGCCATTTTGCCGACTATTTCCTGTTGCTGTGAAGCAGAAAGTGTAAGGGACCCCCGACTGTTTCGAAGGTCAGCCCTGTGTTTCTTCAGGTCCGAGAGCGTTCCATTCTGAGGGGAGAAGCCAACAGATGCTTGCTGAGTGTTCACGGTCACGTGGATTTCCACCTGCATTGCAAAACCACAAATGTATTGTACTTACTACCTTCATGATCAGGGAAAACTTTTGTTTTCCATTAACAGTTGTATAAACAACAGACACTCATAAAAAGCAATTAGCAGGCTATACGAGATTATTTTCATGAAACACCAATTTCAAAAAAGGGTATTAGACAAGCCAAGGTGATGTAAAAACGAAGCCAACTAGTGGTTAAAGTGCCTTTGAATTCCCACAGAAGTTGACACCAAAAGTTCTAATTAAAACCAGTTGGCAGTTGCCTAAACAGAATAAATGAAATTATCCACACTTTCAGCAGTGCACAAAGAAACAAAAGAAGTAAACAGTATAAGCACAGCTCTGCTTGCTATTTAACTTCTCTGTGATCTACTGAAAGAATTGATGCTTTCCAGCATGCCTACCTTTAACACCAATTAAGTTATATTTCAAGATTAAAGGAAGGACAGCTTAGTGCAGCTTCTTTCATAGAAAAAGAACTTGGAAATACACGGGGCATATAAAATTTTATGGCTCTACATGCACTCTTTCACGGGAGCAATCATAAGACTGAAATTAGTGTGCCGAGTCTATCTATTCATCATTTCCATTACTCTTATGAGTAGAGGCCAGGCATTTAGGCATTAAAATAAGAGTTTTAGGTGCCAAAAATAGGCAGATAAAACATTTCAGATCTCCAGCATCATGAATGCAGTCGAACCCATTTATAAGAAACTTGTGACGCGAAAAATGGTAATTTTATCAGTGGTCTGTGTGGACATACCGTTGAAAACGTGCACTTAGCGACCTTTTTTTTTTCCTGCGTCGTTTCATCAAGAAGTTTTCAGAGATAAGTTAAGCATTTTTGTGTCTTGGAGATGCCCACTGCCTACTCACAAGTGAATTAAAGCGCCTTAGCAACAAATGTCACCGTTTCACTGAAGTGTGATACCGCCACGTGTAACCATCGTGGGTGGCCATAGATACATAAAAAACAGCATCAGAGAATGTTGCTGCATGAAAGTTAATGCAAGACTTTGTTTTTTTCCCCTCTGCTGCCATTCTGCAACTGAATAAACGTATGAAAAGTAAGCAATCTCACTCGCAGCATCCAAAATCTGCTTGCAGTGCTCACAGATATAAGATATCTTAGTCATGTGTGAGCTGGAGCAGGGCATGCGCAAGTGCACGCCCGTTTCCAGTGTTAAAAGGTTTGTTTAAACATTTTGATGGAGTCTACTGGGTCCTACATAATTTCTTGTTGTTGAAAATGAAGTACATTGTCATCAGTTGGTGCCATAGACCTAACATACCAAATGTCAGAAAATGTCATCCAGCCCACCATGAAAATATATGAAAAATACATTTAGAAATTAGTAGCATCACGCGCAGAGGTTTGAGCACAAAATTTAAAAATGAAACTTTATCTTTGATTTTCTCCGCTAATAATAAACTAGCGAAATAGTGAAATTTGTGACAGTAGTGTTCTCAGAGTGCAGTTTATCAACATAAACCAAGTCACTGTTTCACTTAGTGTCCCTTTATAGGGACACTGAAGGCAAATATTAAGTGTATGTTGATTGGTGAAATAGCGGTCCAGAAACCTCGTACTGCTATTTTTGTGCCAAGAAAGTGCTTATTCTAAAATAAAATCACGTTTTAGGGGTCTGCATTGCATTAGCGCCCTTCAAATTACTTGCCTCAAAGTGGACACTTTCACATTATTGCTACCATGCACAACGTTGCCCGGCTTTACTGCGCGGCCGCTAACACTAGTAGCAGTAGAGCAAAAGTAGCAGGAGCCACAGCAGCAACAACGGCCCTTAAACAATTTTCTGCCACGGCCTCCGAGATGGCAGGCATGTTTGGTTTAACTAGGCCCTGCTAGATGCTATGACCTATCCATTTTAACTAGAGTCACTGTATATGCTCTCTGTGGGAGCAGAGTAGCACATAGGTCTACCATCTTGCCTGGTTAGCAACCATAGTTATGCAACGAAGCCACACTCTGTTTTTGCAGGAGACTTGCTTAAGCCTGCCGCCGGTCCCCAGCCAACAAGCCTGGTGTGTCGACAACCAGTGAAGAAAGAAGGAACACCTCCTTTTGGGATTGTGCCACAGAAGGTCAAAAGCATTTTTTAGTCTGTTTGGTAACACAAAGCGCAAAGGCATAGTGCAGAATAACATGCACCGCCGCTGCCGCATGGTCAAGTGGCGCCAGCTATGGAAGATAAGCGACAACACACAGACACAAAATATAGGTCCTCCTAGGTTCAAGTAGCGCCCTACTAAGCCTACAGCATTAATTATTTCAGTATGTTTTTTTGAAAATGGTGCCGAATCCACGCAAATACTTTGCTGTCGAAGTTTAAGGACACGTTTAAGGATGAAGTTTAACGAGCTACAAAGCACACGATGGTGACTCTATAGATTCCAGATGGACGGCAACTGCTTCTGGCAGTGCGGCTCGTGCACCAGCTTCTCCGCAGGGTATGGTTGCTAGCAGCATTGGAAAACAAATGCGCTACTATGCTATCTAAAAGTAGCATATAATGTGACTAAGTTTAACTAGTAAAAAATGGAACTTTTATACTACTCACGCCATTCCCCTTAATAACGTCTGGCATTTTTCTTTCTATAATTCAAACTAAAACAGACAAGAAGCCTTTTGCCTCTTGATGCATGAAAAGTGCTTTCTTTATTGCAGCTAGTTTGATTACTAGTGATTAATTGTAGTCAGTAGCTCTGACGTCATCAGAATAATTTGCCCTGCCGTGGTGGTCTAATGGCTAAGGTACTCGGCTGCTGACTCGCAGGTTGCGGGATTGAATCCCAGCTGCAGCGACTGCATTTTCTTCAAAGACGAAAACGCTGTAGGCCTGTGTGCTCAGATTTTGGTGCACGTTTAAGAACCCCAGGTAATCAAAATTTCTGGAGCCTTCCACTATGGCATCTCTCGTAATCATATGGTGGTTTTAGGACGTTAAACCCCACATATCAATCAATGAATCATCAGGATCATTTCCGAACTATCCCACTCGTGAGGCCATTGTGTGGTACATTTGGCTTAACTTCTTGGTAAGTAGGGCACTGCTGTTGATAATATTGCCATTTTCAACTTTGTCATACATTGAGCTTTCACTCTAACAAATTGTTATTTGCCTTTAGTGTCCCTTCAAAGGACCCCTCACAACGAAAGTTTTGTTTGCCATTTTTTTTAAAGCAATTTGTAGCTTTGCACCAGAAAATGTCGAAATAAAATCGTAAATGCCATGATCCATCATATAAATAATGCTAAAATTGTCAATTCAGAACAATTTTGCAAGCAGTCCAAAACGCCCACCTAAATACCATAAGAAACTAGCGCCCCACAGCGGTGCAGCGCCTAAGACTATGTGCACTCAAGCTTCGGTGGCGCTGAACGAGCTGTTTTCAAATAGGGAGGTCCGCGGGCAGTGAATAATGAAAAAATGCCGATACTTTGAGCATGTCCTTCTGAGAAAAAAAAAAAGCATTCCTGGTGTAAGCAGCTAAAACCACCTTGAGAGCAGCCCGACAACAGAACAAGAGGGGTGACAAACAATAGACCTCGCCGTGTGCCAGCCAGAGTATTGTGCACACCCCACAAACGTTCTCCGATGCCGACTGCACTTGCTTGACCTCTGCAATGTCACGTGGGGCCCCCTGTCTACGTCAAATCACAGAAAATGTCGATTCGACCTGAGCACTGACCTTCACTGTAAAAATAGATTAAAATATAGACAAAACTAGTGTTGCACCGAGGTCTTCTGATTGGGAGCAATTTTTGGAGCAGCAAAATTATCACTTTGGAGCACTTTGGAATAGCAAATTTTATTTCAGAGCACTTTGGAGCAGCAAAATTTTCCGTTTTCAAGCAATCTAAAGCAGCTAACTTCAAATCCTGGAGGAGAAGCAAGTTGCATTTACATTCAAAGACATGAAAAATTATTCTAAGGCTCTTGTGAAGAGCTAAAAATATTTAGATTCATTGCAAATTTCAAGAAGCCAATTATCTTAGAAGCACTCCCTATTTCAGTAGTTGATGCAAGAATAATGGTGTCATGCTGTTGAGCATTCTGGAAAAACTTGTCCAGAGATTGTTCCCGTAGCAAATAAACAGCATACTGGTTGAATAAGATTGTACTTCAAGAAATAACAATATAAATACACCTATGGGGTTATCAGAAGATTTGGTAGACAAATGCTGTGAACAATGCTATAGTAGACTCACACAGTCCCAAGTGCATTTTCCGAAGATGACTTCAAGAATAAAAAGAAGGTTATTTTTCTTCACAACTGATTAGACTGCTGGGCATAATGTAATGTCATTCAGCTCTATAATTTAGTGCGTAAAAAGAATCTCACAGGGTTTATGCCTACACCTAAGATAATTCGAAGGCAAAATCCATATTGTTTTTAATGGGATAGCAATTATATGGTCATTCTCGACTTGTTTTTGTCGTTGCCAGAGGCGTAGCCCGAAATCTTTAAAAATCTGGGGGGGTGAGGCAGTTGCACCTTGATCTGAAGGAGGTGGGAGGGCAGGCGAAAGGTCATTTTGCGCTATATATATGCCATAACAAAAAAATTTCTGAGGTGGAGGGGACACGTTCCTGTCTAGAGCAGCCGAGTGCGTGCCTGTCGACACGGTTGTTGGTCGCGGCTTCTATCTCACGTTAGCTGCAAGCTTTCGTTGATGCTTACATTACAGCACAAAGGCCTAACACACAGTACGATTATGTTTGGTAGCATTACGGATCTCTCTTTACATATTTCTTAAAAAACTCCAGCTGGAGCGGCCGGCTGGGTGCTCTGGACCAGTCTGATTCTATCTGTATGTGCATCGGCATGCAAGAGATGTTTTGGGGGTCTCTAGTCACCCAAGTCACTGGTATCGACACCGCGCGTGCACCAAGTATTTGCTAGTGCGCGAACCTTGGAAATGGCAACCCCGTCGCTAGCGCTTCTCACAAGTGACGTCAAGCCTTCTTAT